TTTAGGGATCTGGCTGCCAGTGCCAATCCATATGGTGGATCAGCACAGCTTTATGTAAATGTGACAGTCTTCAGGTGAATGGGGATAGGTCATGTATCTCGGAATATTCACCTCTACAGCATCAGATCTTCATGATGTGCAGAGAACTGTTAAAGATTGTGTCATGTCTGTCCATTTCCTGTAAGGACACATTTCAACGTGATCAGTACTAATGGACTTCCATTTCCCTTATCCCCGTCTCCACATTAGGGTTGCCACCTTTTCTTTCAGCGAAACCCAAACACTCTTGCGACTCACAGAAATTTTGGGGGGAGAATAAGTTGCTTATTCATATGTAAATAGCGCCACCCATTCATATGTAAATATCACAGTTAGACTATTTTTAGTGGGGGGCCAGTAGCCCCTATCTTAATTTTGGTTGCCTCCTGTCTGCCTGACATCTTGTGTCCGGGTTTCAGCTGCCATGAAACCCGGACACAGCATTCAAAACCCGGACTGTCCGGGTGAATCCTGGACAGGTGGCAACCCTACTCCACATGCCAGATTTCTGGCTTCCTCCCCATCCCCCACTATGCTGGTTTCTGACTTCCTCCCCATCTCCCACCATGCCTGGTTTATGTGTACCTCCCCATCGCCCATCATGTTGGGTTTCTTAGTTCCTTCCTATCTCCCTCCGTGCTGGGTTTCTGACTTCCTTCCCATCTCCTACCAAGCTGGCTTTCTGAGCTCCTCCCCATCTCCCACCATGCCGGGTTTTCTGAGTACCTTATCATCGCCCCACCATGTTGGGTTTCTGAGTTCCTCCCTATCTCCTACCAAGCCGGCTTTCTGACTTCCTTCCCATCTCCTACCAAGTCGGCTTTCTGACTTCCTTCCCATCTCCTACCAAGCTGGCTTTCTGACTTCCTTCCCATGTCCTACCAAGCTGGCTTTCTGAGTTCCTCCCCATCTCCTACCAAGCCAGCTTTCTGAGCTACTCCCGATATCTCCCACCATGCTGAGTTTCTGAGTACTTTCCCATCGCCCACCATGTTGGCTTTCTGAGCTCCTCCCCATCTCCCACGTACCGAGTTTCTGACTTCCTCCTGTTCTCCCACCATGCTGGGTTTCTGACTTCCTTCCCATCTCCTACTATGCCAGCTTTCTGAGCTCCTCCCCATCTCCCACCATCCGGGTTTTCTGAGTACCTTATCGCCCCACCATGTTGGGTTTCTGAGTTACTCCCTATCTAGCGCCGTGCCGGGTTTCTGATTTCCTTCCCATGTCCCACTTTTGGTATGAAAGTTTGCAGGAAATTGGAGTAGCCAGAGGAAACCCAAGCAAGCACAGGGAGAACATGCAAACTCCATGTACATGTCAGATAGAGTTCTGGCTGTGGTTCAAACCCAAGGACTCAAGTGCTGGAAGGCAATCAGGTTTTGCATTCCCATATAAGTCTATAGTAATGCAAAGCCCACATGAAACAGGTATTTCTTTCTATCAAATTATTTTTGAAGGGTCTCAGAAGCGCCTGAGATGTCCTTAACATAAGCCTAAATCACATCAACAAAGGTCCTTATGGTGCCTGCGGTACAAGACCTATAGCCCTAGGCTAGCCAAACATGGGGGTGAGGTAATGAGTGGGAGGTGAAAGCTTTGTCCTCACCACGATCACATAACTTGCCTGGACCATCAAGGTCTTTCACCCTAGCTTTTGTTGCCTTCCCTTTATTTATTTCATTCATTTTTAACTTTTTTTATTAAACATTTAATATAATTTAATACATTGAAACCAGAGTATTTTTCATATCTCACTCTTTTCAGGAGGAGTAAGTGTATTAAGAAGGACATGAAGATGTCATGATGGAGAACCGGCCGCCCCTCACATCACCGGGTAAGAGGAGACTTTCATTTCTTGAGTATTGAGGATCCCCCTAGATACACACATCCTCTGATATAAAGACATAGAAACAATGTATTCAGTCAGTGTGTGTGTTTCGTACAGATGGGTCCAGGAACAGAAATCCCCCAGAGGGATGTCCCCGTCCTCTGTATTCCCGGGACTCCACACAGGAACATCAGGATGTCCCTCAGACTCTTCCTCTGTATTCCTGGGATTCCACACAGGAACATCAGGAGATCCCTCGGGAGGACCAGGAGGTCCCTCAGATATACCATGAGGTCCCTCAGGAACATCAAGAGTTCCCTCAGACCCATCCTATGTATTCCCGGGATTCCTCACAGGAACATCAGGAGATCCCTCAGACCCATCCTCTGTATTCCCGGGACTCCACACAGGAACATCAGGAGATCCCTCAAGAACAGCAGGTGATCCCTCAGGAAGATCAGGTAGACTGAGGGTCTAATCAATATTTAATATTGCTTACTATATGCTCAGTGGATCTCATGTAATAAGTATAACATCTGTTTTTATTTTGAAGAGTGAATATGTAATTAAAGTTGAAGTGAAAGACGAAGCAGAAGACACGCCTGTTAGTGATGATGATCCATGTAAGGAGGAGGAAATCCTTCCAGAGATCAGCACAGGTGAGGAATAAACATCCAGAAAAGAGTCCCAGATTCTCCTTGTTCAGTCACTACAACAATCTCTTCTTCTCCCCCCTCCTCTGTCAGTAGACAGTAATGGGGGGACGGAATGTGTCTAGTGGGGGGAGTCAGGAGCCATCAGCCTCTATTAGACTCCGGCTCTCCTCCTCACATCATGTAATTGTGTGTTACCAGCCAAGAGACGTGACCAATCTCTCCCCCCACACACACACTCTGAGGTCTCATACATCTCAGTACAGGGGGCTTCACTCTCATCTTTATTCACAGACCCCAGAAACCCTCAGAGAGACGTCAAAACTGAGGAGGAGGAAGAAGGACATGGGAGAATTAAAGAGGAGGAAATTCCTATAGAGATCAACACAGGTGAGTCATAAACACTCAAGTCCTCTGTGTTATATGCTGTGGGCAGCTTGCGGTACCAGCTGCTGATCTATATCCATGATTGGCCATGATCGCCTGTTCTTGTAAGAAGAGTATAGCATTCTTCTGATGTCATTGAAGCAGAGCTCCGGGAAAACAGCTACTGTAAATACAGTTCCTGTAAGCAATTCTTTCTGGTTATGTTGCTTTCAATATCTCGTCTCCAGCCTCCTCATTGGACAGTGAATTAGCTTCATCACCTCTGTCCTCCCCAGCCTAACGGTCACTGGCTTGCCCCTTTCATTCATTGTATTCTAGTTCTTTCAATCACAGAGGCTCAGCATCCAATGAGGGCATTACCTAGGGTGGTCTGCATGCAAATGCAGCCTGCATGGAACTCTCATTCCTCCAGACTGACACCCATCCATCAATGCGTTTTGATATTTGCATAACTCCTCCCAAGAGCCAGCTCTCTGTTTTACATCAGTGCTGAGGGCTCTTCAGAGGAGTACAGAGGCAGAGTGCTGTGATATTTCCAGGAAGCTATGTACAGCACCCTGCTGGCCTCTCTCACCAGCCATAATCTGTCTGCATTGCATAGAGAAGCAAAGAACCAGTGTTGACCTCATTGGGCCTAAAGTAAAGTTTGCACTGAAAAGGAAACATTTATGAAAAAAAATATCAGTAAGTTGATGAGGGAGGAGCCAGGGGAGACACAATATAAGCAGATTGAACTGCAGCTTTAAAATGTGTGTTTCCTACAGATGGATCCAGGAACAGAAATACCCCAGAGAGATGTCCCCGTCCTCTGTATTGCCGGGATTCCACACAGGAACATCAGGAGATCCCTCATGCCCGTCCTCTGTATTCCCGGGCTTCCACACAGGAACATCAGGAGATCCCTCATGCCCGTCCTCTGTATTCCCGGGCTTCCACACAGGAACATCAGGAGATCCCTCATGCCCGTCCTCTGTATTCCCGGGCTTCCACACAGGAACATCAGGAGATCCCTCAGACCCGTCCTCTGTATTCCCAGGATTCCACACAGGAACATCAGGAGGTCCCTCTGGAACATCAGGAGGTCCCTCTGGAACATCAGGAGGTCCCTCTGGAACATCAGGAGGTCCCTCTGGAACATCAGGAGGTCCCTCGGGATGATCAGGTAGATGGAGCTGAGGGTCCTATCAGATATCATGGGAGTTTGTGAACAATTCAGTTTTGCTGGAGAATCCCCTTTTCTGCGTATCTAGTTCTATCCAGTGGATGACAGTTTGCCAGTTACTAGTCCTGTCATTTTGTGTTATTTAGGATGAAAACCTGATTGTTGTGAAAGTTGAAGTTAAAGAGGAAGCAGAAGAGTCCTATGTGCTGGATGATCAGCAGTGTAAGGAGGAGGAAATCCCTCCAGAGATCAGCACAGGTGAGGAATAAACACTAAATCCAGAAAAGAGTGACGATTAGTGTTAGGGTTACAGGGAGGGATAGTGTTAGGGTTACAGGGAGGGTTAGTGTTGGGGTTACAGGGAGGTTTAGTGTTGAGGTTACAGGGAGGGATAGTGTTGGGGTTACAGGGAGGGATAGTGTTGGGGTTACAGGGAGGGTTAGTGTTGGGGTTACAGGGAGGGTTAGTGTTGGGATTACAGGGAGGATTAGTGTTGAGGTTACAGGGGGTGCTGATGTTGGGGTTACATTTGGAGTGTTAGTGTAAAGGGGGCTAAGAGTAGGTCATATCTCTCTGCATAGAAGTCCTCAGCTTGGATTGGCTGGAGCCGATATCCTATGTACTCTGATTGGTTGGCATATATTGTACAGATTGTTCCTATAAATGACATGAATCATCCTTGTTCCCTCTGATTTCTAACTTTCCCCAGATGGCAGATACAGAAGGTACAACACAGAGAAACATCCCATAACCTCCCCCGATGGTCACATAGAAGACAATGACATCACTTCCAGTTCTTCCGGGAAAATCCAGATGACCCCAAATCTCCATCCGGTCCATCCCATTGCAGATCTGTCCTCTTCTCCCTCCACACATGGGGAGAGTTCTCTGGATCATTCCCCTCCCGTCACCCATCTTGCAGCTACTAGAGGTGAGAACTTCCCTTGCTCCATGTGTGGGAAGTGCTTTCCCAGGAGAGCAAAACTCATTGCACACCAGAGGACTCACACAGGGGAGAAGCCATATTCCTGCTTGGAGTGTGGGAAATGTTTCACTGAAAAATCCAACCTTGCTACGCACCAGAGGACTCACACGGCCGAGAAGCCATTTTCTTGTCCGGAATGTGGAAAGTCCTTTAATCAGAGAGTCCACCTTATTTCACACCAGAGAACTCACTCGGGAGAGAAGCCATTTTCTTGCTCTGAGTGCGGTGAATGTTTTTCCCGGAAATACACCCTTATCAGACATGAAAAAGTTCACACTGGAGAGAAGCCGTATTCCTGTTCCGAATGCGGGAAATCTTTTTCCTTGAGAGCCACTCTGATAGCTCATGAAAGAACTCACACAGGAGAGAAGCCATTTTCATGTTTGGAGTGCGGAAAATGTTACTCTTGGAAAGAACTTCTTATTAAACACCAGCGAAGCCACACCGGGGAGAAGCCCTATTCCTGTTCAGAGTGCGGGAAGCGTTTTTCAGAAAAATCACTTCTTGCCAAACATGAAAGACTTCATACGGGGGAGAAGCCGTTTTCCTGCCCTGAATGTGGTGAAAGTTTTACGCAGAGGGCCCATCTTATTCCACATCAGCGAAAGCACACGGGTGATCGACCATATTCGTGCTCAGAGTGCGGGAAACGGTTTTCCAAAAAATCGTCCCTTATCTCACATGTAGGTTCCCACCGGGGACAAGAGGCCACAGGGTTAGAATGTGACGGCTGAATAAGCGTATGCACGCACGGTCCATATGATGGTTTACCTTGAGTCCTGGAGGTTTATAGTTCTCGAAAATAAATAAATCCTTTTCTCTAGCTGGAGAATGTTTCACACTTCCAGCCATCAGGTGATGAAGACAAGTGCACAACACCACCTGACCCTAAGGCTGACTTGCTTCCATGTAGTAAATAGCAGGATATCAGACTCGCAGCTAAATACAGCAAGTCAGAGGAGTATCATGCCTTTATGGGAAAGCATCTGGATTTTTAACATGCAGTAGCAACAAAGTGCATAGCTAGTGCTGGGCTTTCTTAATAGAAAGCCCAGCATCTTTTGGTATACAGAAAGAATGGGCAGATAGGAGGAGATAAGTGGAAGCTAAATCATGCTTATGGGGTGGCGAAGAGACAGGAGTGGTAGCTGATCACGTTCCACTGGGAAGAGATGCCGAGCAAGAGCTGGTCATTGACAGGCTGGGGAGTTAACACACGTTTATGAGTTAACGTTTAACATGGTCATGTGATTTCAGAACAACATGTAGAATGATGGAGCATCTGGAACATAAAAATGGGGACAAAGCAACAGCCAGAGGGCCCTGAGCTTCACATGTGCAACAGTGTGCCAGGGACTTGTGTCACAGATGCAGTGCAAGAAATTGTCCGATCTGGATGCATGCCACTTCCTGTAACATTCATTCCTGGCGGCAGAATCCTCTTGGAGTGAAGGCAGAACGTACTCTCTCTTTTCATGCACACAGGATGAAGAGTTCAAACTCGCACGTGCTGTGAGCAGCTGGTCAGGATACAGACTTGTGTGTTTTCAGCAGCTGCTCAGGTCTGAGACTTGGATGTGCTGTGAGCAGCTGGTCAGGCCTGAGATTGGCACATGCTGTGAGCAACTGATCTAGGCTGAGGCTTGTATGTGCTGCCAGCTGCTAATTAGGGCCGAGACACGCATGTGATGTGAGCAGCTGGCCAGGTCTGGGACTTGCATGGGCTGTGAGCAGCTGGCCAGGTCTGGGACTTGCATGTGCTGTGAGCAGCTGGCCAGGTCTGGGACTTGCATGTGATGCGATCAGCTGATCAGGACTGAAATATACTGTCTTGAAGCAGCTGATTTGGACTCAGACTCACATGTGCTGTGAGCAGCTTTTCATTTCGATCTTGGTTTTGCTTTTTGCACTGAGCAAAGACTGGAAGCAGGAGATAGTTTGACTGATGGCAAACACTGACACTGCCGGCAGGAAGTTGCAGTCCGTTTTCTAATAATGTGCCGAATCAGATACTCGGAAATCCATTATTCTGTTCCTCTCGGGGTTGGAGATATGAATTATGGTTTCAAGTACGATGCCAAATTATAATGTTCCTTGTTTCTCTTTGCCTTGCTGCGCTCCTTACCCAAAGAGTCCCTTGTCATGGGGGTGGGGTGCTGGCAGTGACTGCGGATGGCACCGGCTGTTGTAATTAAACGGCCCGCCGGGAGCTTTACATTCAAGCGATCGGGCGTCTCTAGAGATTCCCGATCGCTTATATTAGCTGCGGATGTAGACATGTCACCGGCACCCCAAATCCTTTTAGGACAGCAGAATCTTCATTTGTATTGTAAGGTCTCCCTTATATTGTAAAGCGCTGCGCAAACTGTTGGCGCTATATACATCCTGTATAATAATAATGTCTTGTTCATTCTAAATAAACTGTATATTCCTTTCTTCTCTTCCATTTATTTTCTTACAAAGCAACTTTAATATATAATATCCAGGGCTTGAAACATGTTAGGGGGTCTCACCAGTCAGTCCAAAATGTCACCAGTCAGCATGACCGGACCCTAGCCTTGCCATTTATATTAATGTTTTTTTGGGGACAGATAGAGCTTTCTTTTGGTGGTATATAATCATCCCTGGGGGGGGGGGTTATTTTTTACTATATAATGAAATAAGTACCGTACATTTTTTCAAAACAAAAAAATTTCCCTACGTTTAAAAAAAAAATATTTATTCTTACCCATATTTTTGGTAAAATATAAGAGATGCGGTCAGGTCCCCCCCCCCCCAAAACCCCCCCCCCCCAATCAATGGAGAATGGCAGGGTTAGTTTTAATTTATTTTTTTTTGTCTTCATTTTTTAAAAACTTTTTATCACTTTTTTTTTTACTTAAAGGGGAACTATGGGGTCAGGGCTTTTCCCCATAGTTCTCCTTAGGGTAACGGGAGGACACAAACTAGCGTCCTCCCGTTACCCTAAGCTCAGTATACCGCGAGCTGTAGCTCGCGGTATACTGAGACGACGCAGCTGGAGCGGATCCTGACATCGATGTCGAGATCCACCCAGCTGCGTGACTGACAGCTGGCTCTGCCTATCTAGAGGCCTATCAGCTGTACCCGCCCCCTCCCCCGTCCGTTCCGCCAGTCAGCGCTGGCGTATCGGAGGGGGGATTCCAGCCCCTCCCCTGTCACGGCAGAGAGCCGTGACAGGATCGAGAGGTGAGCGAACGCCGGTATCCTCATTTCAGCTGCAACATGCAGATTTAGGGGTTTGGAATTTGGCTTGTACGGCCTGATCCTATTTTGCCGGCAATGGTTTAGGCCAGAGCCAAGTGTAACATTGTGGACAATATTTTCCTGCCTCGTAAAATAAACCTGAACTCAAAAGGTGAAGATTGTAGGGAATCTCTAGATATTGTGCTTATGCAGTTTTGCCCTAAATGCCTCCTGAAAAATAGCATTGTATTCCCTGTGTGCACTCCTGTGCCTCAAGCTTCATAGCTGTATGTCTTCAGTGTGAAATCACCTGAGGTACTGCTGACTGACTACTATTTATCATGACATTTGGAGTTGTCACTGCTGTGCTGCTTATTGTTCTCCTTGCTGGAGAGGAAGCTGTACCTGAGGACCTGCAATGCACAGATCTCCTTGCTCATCACTTCATTCTTTTTGTGAATCTGTGCTTCCTCCACCCATCCTGTAGCTTCATGACTATAACCCCATCAGTCATTAAGGCTGGGTTCACACCTGGGCGCTGAAAAACACTCAAGAAGTGAAATCCAATCAATCCCTATGGGCATGGTTCCGACCTGGGTGTATTTCAGCGCGATTTGTTGCGCTGAAAAACGCACTACGTGCGAAAAAGTACTTGAGCTTCTTTTTCACGCGTAGGGGCCGATTGTAGCGCGTATCCATCGGTATTGCCGAGTGTGGTTAACAAAGCGGTAGCCCCGAGCCACACTCGGGAATACAGCGTAGGTCTTACCTTGTCCGCGATCCCTGCTGTGTCCTCCGACCACTGCCGTCCCTTGCGAGCGTTCGCGTCGCAGGGGGGCGGAACCAGCGGGAAGTTTGAAAGTTTTTTAAAAAAATAGAGAAAAAAATTAAATCATACCGCCAGGAAGGTATAAAAACGAGCGTCGAACGCGCGTTTCACTGAACTAAAAAACATGCTAAAAAAGAGCTGAAAAAACTTGCAGAAAACGCGCCTATAGCAACGCCCAGGTGTGAACCCAGCCTAAGAAGGGAATTCAGACATGAGGAAGCAAAGTCCTACCCTTCTGCCAAGATGGCCACCTCCACACAGTACAGAACACAATATGTTAAGTCACTGTATAAAAATAGTTTGTTTTTCCCATCTGGAAGATGGAAGAGGAGCAGTGGCGGGACAAGGTCGTTTAGCACACAAGGAGATGAGAGAGCAGCAGTGGCGGGACAAGGTCGCTTAGCACACAAGGAGATGAGAGAGCAGCAGTGGCGGGACAAGGTCGCTTAGCACACAAGGAGATGAGAGAGCAGCAGTGGCGGGACAAGGTCGCTTAGCACACAAGGAGATGAGAGAGCAGCAGTGGCGGGACAAGGTCGCTTAGCACACAAGGAGATGAGAGAGCAGCAGTGGCGGGACAAGGTCGCTTAGCACACAAGGAGATGAGAGAGCAGCAGTGGCGGGACAAGGTCGCTTAGCACACAAGGAGATGAGAGAGCAGCAGTGGCGGGACAAGGTCGCTTAGCACACAAGGAGATGAGAGAGCAGCAGTGGCGGGACAAGGTCGCTTAGCACACAAGGAGATGAGAGAGCAGCAGTGGCGGGACAAGGTCGCTTAGCACACAAGGAGATGAGAGAGCAGCAGTGGCGGGACAAGGTCGCTTAGCACACAAGGAGATGAGAGAGCAGCAGTGGCGGGACAAGGTCGCTTAGCACACAAGGAGATGAGAGAGCAGCAGTGGCGGGACAAGGTCGCTTAGCACACAAGGAGATGAGAGAGCAGCAGTGGCGGGACAAGGTCGCTTAGCACACAAGGAGATGAGAGAGCAGCAGTGGCGGGACAAGGTCGCTTAGCACACAAGGAGATGAGAGAGCAGCAGTGGCGGGACAAGGTCGCTTAGCACACAAGGAGATGAGAGAGCAGCAGTGGCGGGACAAGGTCGCTTAGCACACAAGGAGATGAGAGAGCAGCAGTGGCGGGACAAGGTCGCTTAGCACACAAGGAGATGAGAGAGCAGCAGTGGCGGGACAAGGTCGCTTAGCACACAAGGAGATGAGAGAGCAGCAGTGGCGGGACAAGGTCGCTTAGCACACAAGGAGATGAGAGAGCAGCAGTGGCGGGACAAGGTCGCTTAGCACACAAGGAGATGAGAGAGCAGCAGTGGCGGGACAAGGTCGCTTAGCACACAAGGAGATGAGAGAGCAGCAGTGGCGGGACAAGGTCGCTTAGCACACAAGGAGATGAGAGAGCAGCAGTGGCGGGACAAGGTCGCTTAGCACACAAGGAGATGAGAGAGCAGCAGTGGCGGGACAAGGTCGCTTAGCACACAAGGAGATGAGAGAGCAGCAGTGGCGGGACAAGGTCGCTTAGCACACAAGGAGATGAGAGAGCAGCAGTGGCGGGACAAGGTCGCTTAGCACACAAGGAGATGAGAGAGCAGCAGTGGCGGGACAAGGTCGCTTAGCACACAAGGAGATGAGAGAGCAGCAGTGGCGGGACAAGGTCGCTTAGCA